CTTAACACTATAAAGTACTACAAGGAAAAGGATTTTAAGAACTACTTTAATTAAGTTGATAATTACAATAAAAAAGTAAGTAACGTGTTAATTTATAGTTAAATTAAACAGAACATTGTGTTAAACGTATATTATGTAAATCTATAATGGAATCATGATGTTATTGACAAATTTTTTATTAACGAAGCTATTATATAAAAGTCGCTCGCCTCGCTGTTATTAACACCCCAACCTTATCACATTGTAGATTGTTATTACGACGGTATAGTGACGTTAGATGCGAATTAAATTATTTCGTTGTGGTGTTACGTTTTGTGACAGTTTCACATTGTATTTGACGTCACAGTCGTTACGTGTATTACGTTACGTCGCGAACTTTGAGTTAGAATACTAACCAGAGGCAACGTTGGTGTAAACAAAAACAAAATAAGTCTTCAAATCTTTAGAATTATCAAGAGTTATTTAGACTTACCTAGATCTTTAAGTTTTCATATTAAACGCAGTAGAGCAACGATTGTTGTCTACATGATTGTTATAGCATGAATGTGTCGGTCTGGAAGGGTATTTTTACACTGGTATACTCATACCATACATGCGTAAAATAGCAGCTTACAAGGAATTTCATCTTAAAAAAGTAGTGCGCCATTACGTACTGAGACATCGTGTCTGGCTTTTCCTCTTTAAAAAAAGAACAGTCTGCCATTAGTTCATTCGTAAGCATATCCAATACATTAATTACCACTTAAATTTTCAACATAATACAGCATAATTTAATACACATAATATATCTTTCGCAAAATAAACAAAATCATGTATAAGGCTCAAATAATATGGGTCGCCGGCAATAAATTACATCGGACACTAACTGTTGACTCGTGAAATTAAACCGGAGCTTTTAACGAACAATATATTATTTACATAACGCTCGCCTCCATAATAAAGGCTGTTTTATTCGAAGTATCTTCTTTATGATGTTGGATTAATAAAATGTACAGTGTGTACTAATTATGATGTAGAGATGTAGAGAATTTGAAATGTTTTACTTTTTTTTTCAACTTTACACCCACTCTTGGATTTCTCCTTTATTTTTAATTAATTAACATAATTACACGAGAACAAACATCTCAGCCCGGAAAAAATATTTGTAGGCCATGCAAATACTTGTTCCGTGCGGGATTCGAACTCGCGGCCCTCAGTGCTGCAACTCATTGCTAAGCCACAGCGCCATGTAGTATTCAATTGTAATTTATTACTAGTTTACCGATTTCTAAATAAAGTTAAAAAAAGTAAAGTTACAGCCTATATACGACCCACTGCTGGGCACAGGCCTCCCCTCATTTCTAAGAGGGTTTTAGGGCAAGGAAATGTCCGCCGTGCTGCCCCTTCACATGTCTTCGAAATATTTTTTTCTTATTCCTCAGACATGCAGATTTCCTCACGATGTTTTCCTTCACCGCCGAGCACGTGGTAAATCAGCACTTAAAATTGCAATTAACAATTTCATTGGTGCCGGCAGGGATCGAACCCGGGTTACTCGCGTTCTGTTATATTTACAGCGAGCGTTAACCATCTGAGCTGCCATGGCTCTCATTTCTAAATAAAGACTAGCAATTATTCACTTTATTTATAATATTTGAGTCGTACGATATATGGCAGCTATATGGCGGTGAAACGTTACGTTGATGCCTAACGTATAATATCTGGCTGCCTTGTTAGTGTAGTGACCGTAAGCACGACTGCTGATTATTTGGTCTCAAGTTCGAATCCCTAGTCGAGCTAAAATCAGTTATAGTGTTAAGAAATTCTCACTGGCAGCGCGGTGTCACGAACTTGGTTTTGTTTCAACCTCTTGCCTCGGAAAGCAAGAAAAGCCCTTGCTGCAGCTGTGAGAGCCAATAAAACGGTTAATTTTCCGGAATACTTGATATTGCTTTAAAAAGTTCAAAATCTGAAACTTGCTAAGAAACACGCGGGCTGATGACGTAGAAGAGTTATGCAAGGAACATGATTTTGCTCAGCAGTATTATATCTTCGTTTCGCAAGGCATTCAGACTGCGACCTGGACTCTAACGGTTGTTAATTGCCTTGCATAGTGTTAATCGCAGAGGTACGTATCGGTGACATTTACACATATTTGTTGCGAGCACCCGCCGTAGCGAATGATTAATTGAACGTATTTGAGATTCGCTTGCCCGTCTATTTGGGGCCTGTGAACTTATGATTTAGAGGCTTAACTGCACTGGCCATATTTTCTAATATTATGCAAGCGTGACAAGCGAATATACAGCCCACCTGATCGTAAGTGAAAGCCTATATACAACTGTTTTCATCCTTAAGGACTAATATGAAATAGCTCGTCCCAAGTCTAAGGTTCTCATCTCATTACTCACTACACACAGTTGCATTAAACTGCTATTTTATTGTGGTCTTCTGTCCATGTAGTGGTGGCGTAAGTAAATATCATTCTGTGGGTGTGGGTGTGCAAAATGAAACCAGAGGCCCACCTCTCTACAAAATGGGCAGTAGCATCTTTCTGACAACAACCAAAAATAATTAAAAAAAACTGCCTTTGCTCAACAGTATGGAAATAATAAAATAAACAAATTTGACTAGAGATGGACTCTTCGTAATAACAACTAAACAAAATAGCGGTTTATTATTTATTTTATTTTCTTCCTACCTCCCCATTCTAAAGAAAGAAGAAAAATTTGAATTATACTTGCTATATTTTTCTACAGTTTCGTCAAGCGTAATTCCACTGCTAGATACGGGTCTCTTCTGTTGTCTTCTCCAATTCAATCATCATGTTTACTCTGCAGGCAGACTGTCGATAGATCGGATATTTTTGATGTTGTGTGACGTTTTGTTGAATCATCTGTATTTCACGTCCGGTGTTAACCAGAATGCTATATCGCTACCTTTGAGAGGCCATAAGCCATAACTTAATTGTGATATTTTCCGTAGTCCTCTCTTGCGACACTCACAGGATGAAATGGTGTAATGGATTACACCGCCACAACACGGTCTCTTTTTATTTATTCATTCATTATATATCATTACGCGATTACTGATCATGAAGTCCGAGATTCAAATCCCGGGTCTAGCCAAAATTAGTTAATGGGGTTTTATGTCAACAAATTCTCGCCCGGGGTCAGAAAGTTGACGGTGTTTCACCCCCGTGCCTCGGACTAACCCGTATAAAGCTCTAAGCCCTGCATCTAATCTCTCTCATCAGACTGTGAGAGTAATATGGACCTAGAAAAAAGGGCGGACAGAGTCTCGCTAAGAAACAATTGACGCACCGCAATGGCGGCCGTTTAACTATGTGTGAGTAACTACGCGAGCGCGGATTGGAGCGTAATGGCGAGCGGTAGACTTACTATGGTGTGCATGTGTGCGTGCTGGCTTGTTTGTATTAGCGAACTGACTTACTATGAGTGCGTCAGTAATTGTTTTAAGAGACGGCGTCCGCCCTTTTTTCTAGGTCCATGGAGAGTAAGGGAATAGAGAGAGAACCTGTGCTTGCCCATACACTTGCACTGTAATCTTGTCCTACGCAGTCTTTATTGATACTAAAAGCCGTGGTGATAATTATTTCCCATAATTGTCATGCTTGACAATCGGTTGCGCAACAGTTTTTTATTTTCCAGCAGTTAGAAGATGCTGCTGCCTGTCTCCAGGTTTATTTCTCTCTATCGCCTCTTAACATATAGCACATGTAATTTTAAACATAGCACTGTTAAAAACTGTAACATATGCAGTGTCGGTGAAGTATATAGAATAAGAGTGAAAAGCGAGAACAAAGCCCACTTGATGGTAAGTGAATACTATGGCTCAGACATTTACGTTAATTCTCGATTACACACTAAGAATTTAACTGCAATAGCGTTGTCACTCCTGAGGACTGAGTTGAAATGCCTTGCTTCCAGTAAAAAGGCTCTCCGGTACACTCGTATTACGAAGCACAGTTGCATTGAGCTATAATTTTACGCTGGAACCACGCTCTTACGAGAGATAGAATATGTAAGAGCGTGGTCCTTCCAAGGTCGGGCTGACACATTTGTGCTAGCACCATAATATAACGGCAGCATGGCCATACCGCGTTCTATAGTTATTTCACATACGTTCACACAGCATTATGTCAAATTTCCGCGATGATTGCGTGATGCAATTCCACAACAATAAAAAAACTTTGTAGGACAAATTCAAATGAGCCGCTCTCGTGTGTGATTATATCATTTCGCAATAATACTTTTACTTATGTGACGATTTAGTCATTCGAGCCGAATTTATATTTTGATAAAGCTCGTTGCTATTTTTGATTGAAGCACATGGATTTAAAAATATTGTCTAATAAATAAATAAATTGGATCAGTAAGCTGTGTTGGACCGGCCATATATCTCCAAAAACCGATAAACGACAGGTTCCTGAACGGCAGCCTGGTGTCAGTAGTGGAAGTGTAAGGTAGCTCGCCACTAGTAGAGTCGATTGATGTTTAGTTGTGTCGATTGAGCATTTGGCTCAGAACCGCTCTTTGTGGTATTCTTTGGGGAGGTCTATGTTCATCAGTGGACTTGTCGTGGGCTGTGATGATGATGATTATAGAAATATTTAATAATTCAAGGTTGATGAATAAGAAAAAGTAAAAGATCTACTTTCGATTACTATCGTGAACCGACTGCCTCGTTAGTCGCATAGGCGACTGCTGATAATATGGTCCCGGGTTATAATATAAATCCAATTTCGGTTATTGGGATTTACCGTTCAGAATTTCTCAGCAGCTGCCCGTAGTCAGAAAGTTGGCAGTGTTTTACGCCGTGGTCTCTCTCCAGTTGTGACGAATTATCATCCCATCTAACTATGAGAGAGATTTATTTAGGGGGTTCAAATGTGCTTTAAAACGCTCGTGCACTATAATCCTGTCCTGCATAAATGGCTAGTCTGCGTCGGGATCGGCCCTGTGGCTGGACTACATAATTAACGAAATTTATTGTTACAGATGCAAAATTCTGGGTGGGTCGTGGCGACAAGCCGTCACCGCAGGGCATCCGCATTCCCGACGAGAACGGCAAGGAGACCCCGCTGCGCAAGTACGACAAGAAGACAATCGTCCTGACGCTACCTGGGGTGAGCTGATGCATTTGTTAAATATAAAGTTGCACACAAATACAGAAGACGTGGTGCGATCGTCGCGCGGTCTTCTGCAAGTTTTCCCTTTTTGCGATGCGGCTGACCTGATGGTGTCAACCCCCGCCAATGAACAACATCATGCGAATTGCCGACCTTTTAAAAAGAAGTAAGCTCGTTTCTTGAAAGTCCCTAAATCTTATCGGTCTGGATATTGTAATTGTAATTATAATTGTCCGTTTCTCAAAGGTAGATTCAAAACTTGACTGTTGAAGTTATTTAATAAAACTACTTTTAGATTTTATCACGTTTAATTTATTTGATTTTAATTCCCGACGTTTCTGGTGCTATCCAGCACCTATGGTCACGGAGGACTGAGGTGATTGACGTTCCGATGTCAGTGCTAACTCGGAGTACCTTTAGCTTTTTAATTATTACTTATGGTCCGATCTACGCAGAACCATCTTACTGTGTCTTGAATTATTGCAGTGGTATGCATGGGTTTAGTTTTATTTTTTTATAATGATTTCTTATATTTACGCAAACACTAGATTATGTGTGTAGATTGGAACAAAAGTTAAATTTTAATCTATGGTAACCGCTGTTAACCATGACATCTGGACGTTGAACATCTGAGTCCCCCTCGTGACCATGGGTGCTGTAAAGCGCTCGAAACGTAGGGTATTTATAGTTAAATATATGCGATAAAATCGCAGGTGTTAGCACCCAGTCTCCTTCTCTATTGAAATGAGGATGGTTTTTAATTTCATAAGCTTAACGAATCATCCTTGGTAGGAATCGATGTTATTTCGCGAGGATATGTGGTCTATCAAATCTAATGTTATGGCGGTGGATATCTAGATAGCACCCGAAACGTCGGAAATTAAAATCAATTAAATTAAACGCGATAAAATTTGTAAAAGTAGTTTTATTCAATGTGAAGTGTTCGCGGAAATATAAGAAAGACCTTTTGTAATTATAACCAACAAATATATATATAACTAATGGTGTTCTTCTATATTTCTTAGGAGCTGACAGTATTCGATATTGGCCACTTCGCGGTGTGGTGCGAGGCGTTCACCGTTAACTTCGGTCACATCACGCTGCCGCGAACGCAACTTGCCAACGTGCCGCCAAGCCTCAAGATGTTGGGAGTCTCTCCCCAGGTACGTGGCCGACGTTTCATCCAACATTACTCGTTGCATTCGACTTCCATCAGCCATTTAACAAATCAAACACTGGGCTAAATCTTGGCAAGCTTGTAACGTTGCAAATTATAGTAATTGACGCCTCTAATATATATATATATATATATATTTTAACTCCTTCTCTCTCTTAAACTATACACCCGATTGACTTGAAATTTAGTGTAGTTACTCATTTCGTAATGCAGATGCTCACTATGAACGGAATTTATGATAGTCCCATCAAAAAAAAAACTTGATATTGTACATCTTACTTGTTACTTGGTGTACTTACGTGGTAGAGCCATGTTGTAGTTATATTAGTAGATAGTATAGTTGTAGCACGAATGGGTCGGCTCGACCGGGGTAGGACCACGCTCTCACAGAATACCAACGTCAAATAGTAGCTTAATGCTGCTGTGTTTCATATGGTGAGTGTAGAGAACCGGAGAACCTTTTTACTGGAAACGAGGCATTTCATTTAAGTCTTCACGGGTGCATTTTGATTCGTAATCGAGGATAGATGTACATGTCCATGGGCCACAGTAACCACTTAGTTCTATCTATCCAGTAACATCTTAGTTCCGCAATATAATATTATCGTGCGCCCAGCGAAGCGAGTATGTATTACCTCTTAAATTGTTAAAAGATGTTTATTACAACGTATCACGAATTAAAGAATGTATCATAAATCGAAACACAGCCGCATAATGCTCTTGAGTTTTTGTTCAGAGCAAAACAGCGGTGCACGCACTTTTGTGTTCCTTAATTTTATACGGTCGAGTTTTCCGAAGTAATTTCTATACGATTGAATACGTACTGATAACGCACTTAAATTCAATATGTTCTACAAAGACATGTTGTATACGGTTAAACAAATAACCAATATAATAAAAATATTAATTTTAAATTGCGTAATAATAAATAATAATTCATTATTGAATACTCAATTCTCTCGAAGATCTTCGCAGCTCATAATAAATGCGTGTTGCTTAAATTCTTTTAATTTCTCTTTATTTAGGACACGATGTTAATCGATTTCGCGGACCAGCGGCGTCTTTAAAAGTTATAAATTCTTATTTTAACTTGATCGTCGTCCAATTAGCACGTTTTGGGTTTAATCGGAGTGTGAACCTTGACACGCAAATTAAGCATAGTAAAAAAATAAACGCCGCTTTATGTTGAGTCATTGAAAGTTTATGAACGAAAGAATGTATAAGAATTGTATTTGGTATGCGTTTATAATTTAACGGTATTGCCTTTTAATCTACTTTAACTATTTGCTTTTGATCAAATCGGCGATACCATATTGAAGATGTGCCAAATTAAAAGTACCATTAACCGATGAGCATATATTAGTAGGTATATGGATGTAAAGGAGACGAGAGAGCTGTTTCAGGATTGTACTAAATGGAAGTCCATTGTCTCTGCCATTTGGGTGACAGGTATATATATATATATATATATATTATATATATATATATATATATATATATATATATATATATATATATATATATATTTATATAAATATTGTCTGGTACTAGAATTATTTTAAATAATATATTGAAAATAAGAAAGTGTAGTTTGCAAAACTGTTTCATGACCAGGATTAAATGAGAAATGCTTCGATGGCTTACACACATAAGAATAAATGAAGAAAGATTAACTAAGTAAGTGTATTGCTGTAGAAGTGAGAGGTAGAGTCACCAAGAAGCGTCCTAGACGGAAGTTTATCATCACCTCTATATAAACAAATTTTTACTATAAAACTGAAGTGGACGAAAGGATACTGAAAAAATGAACATACAGGCCATCTGATGGTAAATGGTTACTGCAGACCAAGGACACCCGCAGCCAACTTCGAATAAAGAAAGCTACAGGGTCCTTATAGGTGACTACATTTGTTACCTCTGACTTAGATGAAAGGAAAAGCGAAAATGACACACAGCCACACAGCCAGTACATTATACTGGCTTATACTGGCCTTTCAGACTGGAACATAACAGTGATGGCACGCTATTTCTATCGATAGAAATAGGGTGAATAGACAGACTCTTAGGCAGAAAAAGAAACCGTAAAACTGTAAACAAAATGGAAATAACCATAATATGGCAAAACTAATCATTAGAGTTCGAAACAAGGTCCTAATGACTTAAAAAAACTATTTGCATTAAGTTTTCGTCATAGTTTTGAAACAAATCCTACGCCTATACTTTTTCAACATCTTACTAATATGTAAAATTGTTTGTTTTTGGACTGAGTGGTTTCAAAACACCCATATCTGATATGTCCCAATTAACTTGAAGTACACATTATAAATCAAATTCTAAGTAGGACATGGTCAATGAATCCTACAAATGAACGTTACAACGTTATAAATTAGTAACGGAAGTTTTGCGCTTTATTGGTTATTTTATAATACAAACATAAACACTCACACCCGTCATCTAGAGGGTTAGGCAGAGACTACGGACTTCAATTTGACATGATCCTGACATACCTCTCTCACCTCCTTTACACCCATATACATACGCATACATGCCCGCCGATTAAGGATATTCTTAATTTGGCCTATTTTTCCAATCGTCAATTTCGTCGAAAAACTTTGGTCTAAACCATCCTTTGCTAACTCTGCCGTTCATTTCTACAGTTTGAATTGCTTTGCCACTCTTTCCTCATTCACTCCTTTTACATAACCAAACGACCGAAGAATTCCTTTCCTAATCCTGGTCACAACATCATCTTCCAAATGTACGGTTATTTGAATTTTCAGTTTAATTTATTTTGAGTGCTACCCGTGTGGCTGCGTACGAAACTCCATTACCCCAAATAGTAGTAGTAATATATGTAACAAAAAAATAAGAGAAAGAAAGTCAATTACCAGTTTTCACATGTAGAATTAAAAAGAGTACCCATCTACTCAACATTTCTATGGGCCACAGCATCCATTTATCATCAGGTGGATTGAGTGCCCGCTTATTACCCTTATTCTTTAAAAAAAATCTAAATAAGTTTCACTATTGGACACAGTACTCATATAATTTGCAAGTCCGCCGCGCTATTCCAATATGTTTTAAATTAAACAAAATATGTGTGTCAGCGCCGACGCGCGACTGGAGTGTGTGTTGTGTGTGACACACACACACACACACACACACACACACACACACACACACACACACACACACACACACACACAGACAGCCCTCTGTGTCTGCATCGACTTCAGAGAGCTTAGAGCTTATTGCGAAGCGTATAAGTATAAGCGTTATGTAATAATTAAATTACTAAAAAGTCACTAAAGTATTAGGGGATCTAAAGAAATGGGGTAGATAAAAGCCAAAGGAAAAATAGCCATTAACAGCCATTGACAGAAAGAAAACAAATGACGTGGCCGTTCGAATTAGGTCGCTCAGATGAAAAAAGTCAATATTCTTCCAATATTAACTCTTAATAATCATGAGATATACGATGAAACAGTAATCACATCTCGCATCATTATTCTTACAGCCTATTGAAGTCCACTGCTGAACATAAGCCTCCCCCATAGATAGCCACAAAGGAATGCTATTTGCCACAGTTGCTATACTGTGCCAGCGTGTTGGCAACCGCAGGTTTTTTAGTCGTTATTTGGAAAATGCTGCTGCCGATCTTCTAATTTGTTTCACTTCTCTTGCGACTCTTATGACTCCCACGGGAGGATAAGCAGTACTGGATATTCTTACATTTCCGCTACATGGTAAACATCTCTCACAGTTAAAAATGAATAAAAAAATTGTTTAAGAGATTGAGTTCTAACTGGTATAGCCATTAGAAAAGTGTTGTGTTGTCTTTCATGCATCCACTTATTGTTAAAATTAATTTTTTGACTGCCTTCTTCGTCTTATGGTTGTAAACACATTTGCTGATTATGTAGGCCCTGGATTCAAAACCAGGGACGGAACAAAGTCATTTATTGAGTTTTTCTGTCAAGAAAATCTCAGTATGGATATGGAATTAGCAAGCTGAAGATGTTTGACACTCGTGCTTCGGAAAGCATGTAAAGCCGTCGGTCTTGCGCCCGATCTCTCTCCGGTCATGTCGGACTACCGTCCCGTGGGACTATAAAAGTGAGGGAAAAGACAGTGCGCCTGTACCTGCGCGTACTCTTCGCAGCTTAGCTTACGCAGATGGCTAGTCTCCATTGAGACTGGTCGCCGTGACCAAAGTTTATCTGAACAAAATTCGGTCGGACGCTATTAAAATTATATCTTCAAACCTTTGTTTGTTAAAAATTGTTTTACGTGGTTATCCTTATATATATATATATATCTTTATTGATTCAATTTTATGTTTTCTAGAATATGTTATCGAATTTAACCAAAAGATCGTAATGATGTTAAGCATTAAGAGGATAGAGTAAGTCAGCTCAAATTCTAATTTCGCCCCCACTTCCCCGCGCGTCGTATGCTATGTACCGATATGTTTGTAATCACTAATACTGTAAGTAGAAAGGTCGTTAGACACTTATTTCATTAGGTTTATCATATTTATGCCTGTTTCTTAACGCCAAGCCAGCCACTTCTTATTTTTATCACGGTTATTTCCCATTTTAATTTTACGTCGTACTGTTGCGTAATGTATATTCTGATCGTAAGCGACACAACTTCTCCCTTCAAAAGCCTAAGCGATACTAACGGGGCGACTGGAATCAAGCTCAAGACGCCGATAGTTTAGGTAATTTCTTTTTTACAGTGAAAGTAATGGTATTTTAAAAAAAAGTAAATAACATAAGCACTGCTTTATAGTTAGTTCAGTTAGTATGCAAAGTTTCATGATCTTATTTAAAGTATTTTATGAATAACAGCGGTTTATTGTTTATTTTGGAGGTAACTTTGGATTTTTTTTTCTATCGAGAAAATTTTACGAAATCGTGTTTTCGTCTAACATAATCCTTAACATTAATCCTCAACTTTACCATATATTTATTTCAAAATTAATGCTGCAATATTTTCGGCATAACGAAGGATCTTGCTAAGCTATTTGAGATTATATTTCCCCTTAAGTTATAATAAAAATACAATTTGAAACGCGTGATGTAGCCATTAAACACTAGATCTACTTTTGATTCATATGTAGTAATAAACGCATTGCCTTAATGCAATTTCGTGATGAAGATTCGTATTGTAGACTCGAGGTCTTTACAATTCAGTATCGTAAAATATCGCTTCACCTTCACGATGAGGCTAATCTTTATCCACCTTATAATTCATGCTTTGACAGTAATAAATTAGTCTTGTACTCATTAACTAATCAAAAGCTATCTAATAAGAAGTATTACAAACTATTCGAAGCATAGTTGTCGTATGTTTCTTCCACCAAGCAGTAATACCTGCTATGTTCCAGTCTGAAAGGTACAGAGTTAGTATTATTGCAGACTTCGAAACATTCCATTATACTTCTGATAGGTGACTACACATGTGCAGTCTTCTTTTATTAAAATTGGTTGCGGGGTCAATGGTCTTTATTAACATCAGGTGGATTGTAAGATTGCTTGTCATTTCAATTTTATAAAAAATAGCGCTCTGATAAACCGGCTTATATTTCGGGAGGTGCTTGAATCAATGCTTAGGATGATACAAAGAATACAATATCATAATCCTATTTTCATCATGGTTAACCAATGGACAGACGATACGTCAGTGTGATCAACAGAAGTTTTTGATCGTTGTTTCCTGCTATTCTAATCAAGTTCATTACTCATCTTCATCTGATCACGTCCTGAAAACCTAGTTTAACATCGGCTTTAAATTTTTATTCACCTGCATAATTAACTAGTCGACTAAGTTTCGCCCGTCGAGACGCTGAGCGCAGGTTTACTGTTGCAGAGTCGCAACAAAGCCCTGGTTGGTGGCGCTGCACCCCCTACGTCTGAAGCTCGACCCACTTCACCCCGCAAGTTCAAGCCCATCGCTCGCCTTGACGCAACCACGTACCGTCCCTCGCGCCTTGGAGCCGGTCCACTCGTGGCACTTCTCGAACAAGCTGGCTCACATTCGCAACACCGTAGAGCTGATACCTCCTTGCCCTCTCCTGATCAACTAGTTACAAACCCAAATATACAAAACTCCAGGGAGAAATATCACCAAAAGAATGAAATGCATAAAGAATGGAAGCCTCAAGAAGCGGGTTATTCTAATCAACAAGATGCTTTTTTTGGACAACAGAAAAATGAGCCTCAATATCAGCCACAAACTCAGTCGACTGATGACTATTACTATCAGGAACAGTTGTTGAATAGACAAAATCAAGAGTTATTACGTCAACAAGAACTGTACGAACAACAACGAAGGGCTTATGAACAGGATATTCAAAAAGAGCACTATCGTCAGCTTGAGCTTCGACAACAAGAGCCTTATAAGTATCGTTTTTTGCAATACACAAACGATGGTCAATCTCAAAACCACCACGTTCCTGGCGATGTGACGATCCAAAGGAGCATTGACCTTGACCCAGTTACAGGGTCACGGTTACAGTGAAAGGCGGTCGATGAACGTTTGTGCAACGATGCAAGTCCTCGACTCATCGCCGCGCAATAGTTTTGCAACCATTTCGTTACAGGCTCTTCACACGAATCGCGTACCACTAGAATCGAGAGAACATCTCGAGATCCATCTATCAATAACAAATTTTGTCATGTTACGTCAAATTCATTAGCTAGTTTCATGTGTCGATAAACAGAGTAATTTAGGTGTGTCCACGGATGCCCTTCTAAGTCGTCCTCTCACTTGAGGACTGTTTGATGACCTCGAGTTGTGAACATATACAGTTGAGTGAACTACAACACAATTACATTTGATCCCTTATCGTTTATGACCCCATTGTTGTTGCTAAATTCGTGTTTTAAGTTTTAACCGTCATTACGAGTACATCGTACATTTTGTTACGTACTCAAATATGTGAAATTAGAAGTTATTTGTTGTAATTTTTTTTTATTTAAAAGTATTTCGTTTAAGATTCGATAAGAGAGTGCTTGATGGTAGTACAAGAGTACTGTGGTGCCAGGTGTTCAGTAATATTAAGATTATATTTAGCTTCTAAAAAGTTAAAATGAACATAGAATGTAATTTCCTATAGGACATGCGTTTCAACTGATCAGTGGCTTAATGAATAAAAGTTTAAAATATTTGTCTTCGTATTTGTCAATTGTAATGTGATATGTAATACTCAGTACAAAGTTCCTAGCTGTGATATAGTACTTTATTTTGGAAAATACTCTTGTACATGTTTAGTTGACCGATGTCCAGTTCTGTTAAACAGTTTAATTTTATTATTTTTTAATTCTTTTGTAAATGTAACTAATTATGTATCGTCGTATTAGCAAATGGGTAATAATAAAGCTTACCAAGTTTCACGCTTTTTTTTAATTTACTTTAAAACCTTGCATGATATGAGGTAATATTAATTATAATTGACCATACTTGATTTTTGAACAATAAACACTAAAATGATATTATATTGATGATTTCAAAACTTTATTGCTTCATAAAACAGATAGAAACAAGTGGTAAAATTAAATTTTTTGTAGAACCGGCTTCAACCAAAATAAATAAAAGGAGAAGATCACCTACGAAGTGGAAGTCAATTAAATATAAGGATAACTCAAAACTACTAGTCAACTCTTGAGCAATTTATAGGAGACCACATTAGAAGCACCAACTATCAAATAAAAAAAGAATCATCTTAATCCGTTCATATAGCAAAAGCTCTGAGGTATCACACATTAAAAAGTACAGTCGAAGTGGGTACTTACTCCTTAAGCTTTTACGCTAAAAATGGAATAACGTGCACAAAATATTATTACAAAACTATTAAAACATAATGAATGTAAAAATGTACCTATTTTCTTTTAATACAAGAAGAATAACAAACGAGCATACAGTCCACCTGATGGTAAATGGATACTTTGGCCCATAGATATCTACATTTATCCTCAATTAAGAATCAAATTCAGATGCGTTGTCATCTCTGAGGACTAAGATGGAATGCCTCGTTTCCAGTAAAAAGGGTCTCTGGTTCTCTACACTCACCATACGAGGCACAGCAACATTAAGCTGCTATTTACGAAGGTATCTTGTGAGAGCGTGGTCCTACCCCGGTCGAGCCGACCCATTCGTGCTACAACCATAATATAACTGCAACGTGACTCTACTATAAGAGGTCTCGTTCTTCTGTATCTTCGATTAAGAATCAGAATGCATATGTGTTATCATCCCTGAGGTCTAAGATGGAATGCCTTGTTTCTAGTAAAAAGGGTCTCTGGTTCTCTACAATCACCATAGGAAACATAACAATATTAAACTGCTATTTTACGCTAGTATTCTGTGAAAGCAAATCGCGCCTCTTTTCTCAGTTTCCGGCATATAAAATAAAAATAACTTTTTAAATAAAAATAACTACTGAGTACCTAATTTTTTTAACAAATTCAGTGGGATTGCTGCAGTGTTTTGTGGTAGTGTTTTCACGTGGTAAAACTATGCAGCATCTTTATTAAGGTTGCAGCATGGATGAGTTTGCTCCCCGGGTAAGGGAAACGCTCTCACTGAATGTGAGCGATGAATAGAAGCCTAATTTTGGTGTCTTTCGCATGGTGAACGCAGAGATCAATTTGACTGGTGACGAGGCATTCGTCTTTAGAGATGACTAAGTTTAGCTACATGTTGGTATCTTTGGGCCATATTATCCTCTTACCAGCACGCGGACTCTGTGCTTGTTCGTCACCCTTATTATATAAAAAGTGTTGGCAGATTCCAAATGAAATTGACTGTAACTTCTTAACAAAGTTGTACTAACTTGTAAGTCGAATTATGTCTACTCGCTATTACATTAGCCACTTGTTTCTTTTTGGCGTTGTGCTTACGAACCATTCGTTCGTATTCGTATTCGGTTCGATCCTTGCACAAGGTAGAGCCACGCTGCAGCTATGCTATGGTTGTAGTACGAATGGATTAACTCGACCGGAGAAATACCATGCTCTCATAGATTCCCAGCTTAAAATACTGGTGGAGTGAAGAGAACAGAAGACGTCTGAACTGGTGACGAGCTATTCACGATACGATATAACACGTCTGCATTTTGGTTCTTAATAGAGGATAGGATAAAGTTCTTAATAGAGGACAGTGTGTCCGGTAACGGACTAGCGATATTCTAGGTACTTATAATACAGCTATTTTAATACAAAAATACACTACACACTGAGGTCTAATCCCCTCCCCCTCTATGTGGCAGCCATTTTGTTTTTTTCTTGAGATATTCTCTACGTATTTACAAAAATATTCATATCTCTCAAAGTTATGATCTTACTGAGATAAAAATTAGCTCATTCAAAGGAAAACAATATTGTCTATCGTTATCATTATCAAAAAAATTGTTTACACATTCGTAACTTTAAAGAAAAAAATCTACTTCAAATAAATATCAAAAAATTATGCTAGAGCTTAGAGTATGTTAACAATTTTTTTTGTCAACGGAAACAAGATACAATATTGTTTGCCTTATAATGAGGTAATTTTTATCTCAGTAAGACCAAAACTTTGAGAGATATGAATATTTTTGTAAACACGAAGAGAATATCTCTAGAAAATAAAAAAAAAATGGCCGCCACATAGAGGGGGAGGGAATTAGACCTCAGTGTGTAGTGTATTTTTGTTTTAAAATAGATGTATTATAAGTATATATATACATGACCGCCTCGTTGGTCTAGTGGTTGTAGTAGTGCGACTGGTGATCATGAGGTCCTGAGTTCAAATCCCAGGTCGGGCTAAAAAAAATAATTTATTAAGTTTTTCCGTCAAGAAATTTTCAGTAGTTGCCCGGAGTCAGGAAGTTGGCGGTGTCTCACCCCCGTGCCCTGGACAGCACGTAAAGCCGTTGGTCCTGCGCCTGATCTCTCTCCGGTCGTGTCGGTTTACCGTCCCATCGCATTATGAGAGTGAGGGAATAGAGAGTGCACCTGTGCTTGCGCATACACTTGGGCACTATAATCCTGTCCTGCGCCGATGGCTAGTCTCCGTTGAGGCAGGCCGCCGTGGTCGATATTCGGTCTGGAGGGCATTATTATTATATATAAATACATATATATGTGTGTGTGTTTGTGTGTGTATGTGTATAGTGACAAATATGTGGTTGCTAAAACACATACGCTAGCCATATTTTAAGAACAACGGTTGCTATCTACAACCTCTACATAAATATCTTGCTTATATGTTTATGTTTAGACTTTCCTTTGAATAACACTCAGACAGTAGCACCTAGAGTATCTACTTAAAGATTTTAAAACTTTGATTTAATAAATTAACAAGGAAAACTACTAAGACCAGTAATTATACTATATACCTTTATATTGACATTTCAGAACGGAATCTAAGGCTTCTGATTACGTATATACGTAATCGATCACTGCTAATTAATGTTAAAGTTAAGACGCGTAAATGATAGATTGGTTCGATTAGGTGTGTAGCGGCGCTGTCGACGCCGCCACAAGCGAAAACACACCGAAGCCTAAATCGCGCTATCAACATTCCGAATCATAAACAGTATATATAGAACATCTCCGAACTATCACATGGAGTGTCGGCCGCTCCCCGGGCAGAACACCTTGCCCGGCGGGAGATCTCCCCTTTTCCTTTCACGGCCACAGTGGTGACCCCGACGTGATCTGAACACGCAACCAAACAACCTTTGAAAACTTCAAGCTTCATCATCGTCATAGAATACCCCACCCATTCGCCCCCGAGCAGATATAAACTGCAGTCTTCATATCCTGCAAACCATCTAGCTTCACAAGGTTCATCGCAGCATTGGAATAATAATGCTTCCTGTTCCTTCAAGCTACTCTCTGCGCTATACAGTGTTCGGCACGGCTCTGAGCCTTACTGCTCGCCTCTGTTTCACGACACTTTAGCAGATTACTTGCCTTCTTCTCGACTCACTGCAGACTACAAGGCAATCTCCTGGCACTTGCACATTCGTCGGTAACGAGGCTGCACTATCGACCTCCGGTCTGAGCAGGGGGGTGATGTAGCGGCGCTGTCGACGCCGCCACAAGCGAAAACACACCGAAGCCTAAATCGCGCTATCAACATTCCGAATCATAAACAGTATATATAGAACAGCTCCGAACTATCACATGGAGTGTCGGCCGCTCCCCGGGCAGAACACCTTGCCCGGCGGGAGATCTCCCCTTTTCCTTTCACGGCCACAAGGTGGTTATTGATGGCCCGGTTCACTATCGCCTTGAGACGTCACTACGCCATAACTAAAAAATGTTAATACATAATGATTTCTTAAATTTACGCGAACACTACACATTGAATAAAACTATTATTTACGGATTTTATCGCAGTCCCCCCCCCCCCCGTGACCATGGGTGCTGTAAAGCACCCGAAACGTCGGGATAATAATAAAAATAAATTAAAGTATTTAAACGCGATAAAATCCGTAAATAATAGTTTTA